AAGTGGTTGGAGTGTCTTTGCAAAGATCTTCTTGTCCAGGTGATGACTGCTCTACCGACTCGGATTCAGTCTCCAAATTCTTACTTTTGTCAACTAATTTTTGCATGCACAAGCGTCCTCTTATTGCTACTTCTCGAGAACGTTTCTTTTGGTAATGTACACGGGCAACGTTAGAGCTGTGCTTCTGGTCTTCAGATATCCATTTTTGTTCGTTTGGTAGCAGAACCTGGGAACTTTCCGTCTCGATGATTTGTCTGTACCTAGTCGGATGAATGTACTTTCCGATGGCTTCGAACACCAGCACGCTGAAAAGATCTGTAAGTTTTTGAAACTGTTTACCATTTCGATTTACCAACACATACTCGCAAGTGGGTGTGAAAAGGGGTCTGATGTACGTTATATATTTTCCCAATATCTCCATGCTGCATTCGTCAAAGTACACACTATCAAACCCGTATTTTTTAGCTGTCTTGAAAATTGTCTGATCAACCATTCCTTCGTTTCTCTTTGCACTTTCAAACATTCGCAAGGTCAGATGCTGGTATGTCATAGGACGGCAGCCTTTTACTTTCAGGAACATGTAAGCGGCTACGAATCGGGTGGCAAACGTGACGTCACCAGTTTTGACTGAAGAAGAACATGCCATACACTTTTCCAACACGGATTCATAACGTTCTACGTGAAATGGTATTACAGATTGAACTTCGGAAAGAGTAGCCCAACTTCTACGCGATTCGAGGGTTTCTATGTCTAATTCGGTTGTCCAATTTGATCTCATGCTCTTCCCTAAGCACTTTCGCGCTCTCTTCACATAAACCTCAGTAACGGCAAAATTTTGAAGCACTGATGCAGGGGGACGGTTAAATTTGCGAAAATCTAGTAAATCTGAAATGCTTGTGACATAGGATATTTGTCCTGATTGTCCAAGACCCCACTTTTCTTTTAGACTGTCCACGAATTTTGTCAACAGTTTTGGAGATCCCAAGGCGTAGTCGATTAAATTAGGGGAAGTTAGGACATCTTCCTCGGCGTCGCCACTCTCGTCGCAGCAAAACTTTACGAACTTTAAAGCTCTCGTGACTGAAATGTCCGATTGTTTAGGAGACTTGCCCCCGCCACAGCTGCTTTGAAGCCACTGCGAAAACGAACGAGCGAATTCATTATCTGTAGAGCAGCCAGGAACTGTTCTGGAAGCTTTTTCGTTAGTTCCATTCGCAGCAGACGGCGAAGTGTCGAAAAGGTCCATCGATACATTGGGCTTCTCGTCGAAATAGTAATACCAACCATGTTTTATTTTCACATGTTTACGACAACCTCTTTGACTTGCAAATCCTGGATGCTCGCAGCCCGTTACTGGACAACGATCTAACCCATCTCTGTCTTTGACCAAATGCAATCGTCTCTGTTTAGTAAACGCACCGTCGACTAACTTCCAATCTACTTTAGATTTTCTTCGTGCAAACATAAAAACTCGACAAAATGCTTAGCGATCAAATTACTTTGCTTTTTATAGTGAACACGACACACACGCATTAGTATGCATATGCGATGTATTAATCTTATATGTTAAATAAATAGACCCAAGTGCAATATATTATTGTGTTATTTTGCGAAATAAATGGCAAAATTAAAATAGAGGAATGTTGGCTTTAAAGGAACAATAAAACAGAACAATAAAACGGAACAACAAAAGCTAGCAATATGTGCATAACAAATTGTTCCAGTTTGCTAACCTAGTTAGAATATTAATGTTCCGCTTCGCGGAACATTTTGTTCCTAATCAAAGGAACCATGAAAAGGAACAGATTAAGTGTTCCTAATACAAGTTGTTCTCAATCAGTTCCGCTTTGCGGAACATATTATAAACGGAACAACCAAATTGAAGTAGGAACGATTTGTTCCTTTTTAATTGCTGTTCCGTTTATAAATGGGAACACCCAACATAATTTACATGTATTCCTATTATGGGGTTTAAATATATGCAAAAACCATGGCAAAACAAATCGTTCTTGTCATGATGCAGTAGGTAACTTTAAATGCTTTTTCTTATTGAAATAACATGCTCACACCCTAGTGCTTCTGCCCAATTCAATTGTTTTGTTCCCAAAGCGCTTAATCATAGTAAATTTCTTGTTATTGTGATATTGTAAAAGGAACAATTTTTTGGGATACGCTACACCATCACATCATCACAACCACCACTACCACTATCATCATCATCATCAGCAGCATCATCATCATCATGACCACACCACCACAACATTTATCACCATCATCACCACTTTCATTAACACCATACCTCTCGCTACATTGATCGGAGAACTTTTTTCATGTGACGAGGCTGTTGAGAACAAAATAACGAGATCATCGTAAGAGACATCTAAATCTCTGTTACTGTTCCCCGCCAGACTTTCGTCTGCTCCAAGAGTATACACATGATTATGTTGACTATTATCTCCAGGCAACCAGCAATTTCTCTTTTTATGCCAGCCACCGTTATTATATACGCCAAAATTATTCGCCCCCGTTGACCAAGTCATCAAAAAGTGAAACCAGATACCAACGGGAACATGGTAATCGTGGAACGAACAGCCTTTTGTTATGCCTCGGATCTCTCCTTTCAACCTATTGTCTGAGTAAAACAATATACAATTATTTTATGGTTTCCGTGTTTGGATGGCCTGATCCAAACACGCGGGAATGTTGCTCGAGTTAAGAAAAGCGCGCGATTATAAAATAACAACCTTCCGTGTTAAAATTTCACTTTCACTTTAAATTTCCGTGTTTGGATGGCCTGATCCAAACACAGGTTTCGACCAATCAGAGCACGCGTTATATACATGTTATTTTATAATACAATATACCAGCACGTTTGAAAAAACAACTCAACTAGCTTTTTTCTACTGGATAGTCATGCTCTGTCTGTTCTAAACTGTTCTTACTAGTAAGGATCATCTCCAGTAAGGATCATCTCTTATATTGAGCCAGTGTCACTACAGGAGGAAACCTAAACTAAACTAAACTAACTTTACTTATACTGGATAACTCTATCAGTTCTAAACTGTTCTTCCTAGAAATCCAGTAAGGATCATCTCTTATTGATCCAGTGTTACTACAGGAGGAAACCTAAACTAAACTAACTTTATTTATGCTGGATAGCTCTATCAGTTCTAAACTGTTCTTCCTAGAGGTCCAGTAAGGATCATCTCTTATTGATCCAGTGTTACTACAGGAGGAAACCTAAACTAAACTAACTTTATTTATACTGGATAACTCTATCAGTTCTAAACTGTTCTTCCTAGAAGTCCAGTAAGGATCATCTCTTATTGATCCAGTGTTACTACAGGAGGAAACCTAAACTAAAGTAAATTTACTTATACTGGATAGCTCTATCAGTTCTAAACTGTTCTCCCTAGAGGTCCAGTCAGGATCTCTCTTATTAATAATAATATAATACATTTCTATAGCGCTATTTCCTATAGTCACAATAAAACTACTAATTAAGAAATTGTTACAAGCGAATGGAAAAATTGAAAGTCAATATGTTGTAGGAGGCGTAGTACTATTTAAAATAAAATTAATACCCTTACCAAATCTGTATAAATAATTAATAAAAACTGTTTCGCACTGCCTTAGGTAAGGTTAGCTAATCGTAAAGCAGCTTCAAAAGATAGGTCTTAATGTTAGCTTTAAAACTAATCAGCGAATCGCTGTGACGAATATAATCAGGAAGTGAGTTCCATAATTTTGGTGCAGCATAAGAGAGCGACCTATGACCATAGTTTACCAATCTAACTGATGGTATATGCAATAGGTTCTTTGAAGTGGATCTTAGGTTCTTGCTCTGAGTATACGGTTGTAATAACGCTTTAATGTAGCCAGGTGCTAGCCCATTTAACGCCTTATAAGTTATTAGCAGTAGCTTATATACAATACGATGGCTTACTGGAAGCCAATGCAGTTGCTTCAAGACTGGCGTAATATGGTCATTCTTCCTACTCCCTGTAATCATACGAGCTGCAGAGTTCTGTACATTTTGCAAGCGGTCAATTAGGAATTCGGGTAATCCATGAAGTAATGAGTCGCAGTTATGCAACTTAGAAGTGATTAACGCATGGACTAAAGTTTCATCATCTGCTTGAGATAGACAGTGGCTTATCCTTGCTATATTTCGAAGGTGAAAGAAACATGCCTTACAGTTCGAAGAAGTAACATGTTCGTCGAGAGATATAAGTTTGTCAAAAATCACCCCAATATTCCTTGCTGAAGCAGACGGCTGAATCATTTCGAGCTATCAATGGTCTCAGACGATAGTGGGCACTCAACACCAGTAACTCTGTTTTATCCCTGTTTAATTTCAACTTATTTCGTGCCATCCACGAGTCAATTTCTCTAACGCACGCTTCTATTTTTGCCAATAAATCCGATTGTTCAGCCAGTGTGGGTTCAAGTGCCAAGTAGAGCTGAGTGGCATTAGCATAGAGGTGATATTCAAGTCCATGTCGTTTAATGATATCCCCAATAGGAGACGTGTATAATAAATACAAGATTGGCCCAAGGATCGAACCTTGAGGGACACCACAACATACATCTTTCACCACTGATCTGACTCCATCAATCATGACGAACTGCTTTCGGCCTTGGAGATATGACCGAAACCAGTTTAGGACTTGACCTTATTCCATATCGTTTAGACATTCTTTCCAGTACACAGCTAAGAACGCACAGGTTGTTCCAAGTTGATATCGACAGCCGTGAACAATGTTGTGTGGCCAACTATTCAAGTTGTCAACCATGTTGTTCCAAGTTGTTACAGTTGAACAATGCTGTAACAACATGTTGACAATACTGTTCATAGTGGGCCGCACAACCTTGTTCACGCCTGTTGATATCAACAAGTTGTTGATTTTCTCAATTTTTACGCGTGTAGCTGATCATGATCAACGGTGTCGAATGCAGCAAACATGTCTAACATTAGTAATACAACACATTTTTGGTTATCAATTGCACGCACAAAGAATATCGTTTTGGACTTTTAAGAGAGCTGTCTCTGTGCTATGGAAACGTCTGTATGCAGATTGAAGAGGTTCCTCAAGGTCATTGTCAGTTAAATATTCATTCAGTTGACAGGCGGCCGCCTTTTCGATTATTTTAGAGACAAACTTCAGATTCGAGAGAGGTCGAAAACTGGTATATTCCTCAAAATCTAGTATTGCTGACGGTATCGGGTCAAGTTCACAACATTCTTTGCTAGCCGCGTCGATGATATTCTCAACCTCGTTCAGAGACACCATTTTGAACTTCTTGAATTCCGTACATGATATCTGCTTCTCTACTGAGCTAGGCTGTGTAGTAGAAATCAATTCATTACATAGTTCTTTCCTCATAGTGGTTATCTTGTTGTCAAGAAATTGTATAAAATTGTTCACGAGTTCAATCTTCGAGGGCACCAGGAAAACGCCTCTCAACTTTACGATGTAGCAACTTGAACACTGTGCTAAAAAGTATTTTCGGATCTGATGCATTTTACTAACTTTAACTATACCTGATCTATCTGTTCTAAAGTGTTCTTCTCAGAGATCCAGTAAGGATCCAGCAAGGAGAAACGAAACCACATTAAAATCCTTTTCTTACCCGATATACGAACATGAAATCCATAAAGAAAGTGAGCGCCACTATATCTATTACCAAGGACATAAGTATCGTGACGTGTCATCTTTTGAATCTTTAACCATACAGACACGAATATGTCACAGTTGAAAGGGTCAACTAAGCATGGTTGTTGTGAAAAATTACCAAGGTACACCCAAGCAGACTGTCCCTAAACAACAAAAATAAATTCAGTTTAATATGACCATCATCATCACCATTATCATAATCACCATCAACACCGTCATCACTGCTCTACCATCATAATAATCACCATCATCACCACCATCATAATCACCATCAGCACCACCATCATTATCACCACCCTCATCACTACCACTACCATCATAGTAATCACCATCATAATCACCATCATCACCACCATCATAATCACCATCATAATCACCATCAACACCACCATCATTATCACCATCCTCATCACTACCACTACCATCAGAGTAATCACCATCATAATCACCGTCATCACCACAATCATAATCACCATCAACACCGTCATCACAACCACGGCCATCATAATAATCACCACCATCATAATCACCATCATCACCACCATCACTATCACCACCCTCATCACTCACTACCATCATAGTAATCACCATCATAATCACCATCATCACCACAATCATAATCACCACCGTCATCACTAGCAATATCACCATCATCATGATATCATCATCATAATCACCATCATCACTACCATTACCATCATAATAATCACCATCATAACAGAGTAGAGACATACCGAGACGTAACTAGTGTACCCACTTTTTTGTGCGCATGCTCGGCAAGTTACTAGATGCATGCATCTGATTGGATGACGACCTGATGACGACTCACTTTAAACTTGCTGAGCACGCGCAGTTGATCATTTTTCGCCCGGTCGTCTGAAAAAAGTGGGTACATGATAACGTAATCTTCTGCAGTGTTTACAACGGTCAGTTACGTCTCTGTATGTTTTATCTACTCTGTGATCATAATCACCATCATCACCACAATCATAATCACCACCGTCATCACTAGCAATATCACCATCATCATGATATCACCATCATCACTACAATCGTCATCATACTTTATGAGAGTTGTCAGTCACGCATTGCTACAGGGGACATTTCAAACTCCAGATTGACAAAATAAAGGTTTGATGAATGTTCCAACTATGTTTTAACTTCAATAGAATACATGATAGTGTTGGGAAAGCATTAAGAACAGCTAACCAAGCTCGCGTGACTCCCAACTCTCATGTACTCACATCCTCGTTTCATCCTGGCTTCACAGGAGCAAGAAAGTTAAACTAAATCTCTCACTTCTGTTTATTGCTATCAAATACAAAACTATCTTCTCATTCTGATAACTGCAGGTTGACCAGCATCTGTTGCACGACAGTGCTTTGTCAAATCTAACCAGAAATAGTTAATTTACGTACTTTGAGGTTGAAACCAGAGTCTATTGGTGACCGCTCAAACGTTGCCGATCCATGAACGGTTGCAGAATGACCATTTCTGATGTCGTATGCTACTCCAGTTGCAAAATAATTGCAATTCCAATAAAATGCCGCTTTCACGTGGAGTCCGGCAAGCGTTTCCCGAGCTACATAAACATGGTTGAAAAATTAAATAGTGTACGAGCAGGTGTACGAGAGATGAGCGCTTACTGTTATTCCTAGAGATACCAACTTTATTTATACTCAGTACTAAACTGTTCTCCCTAGAGGTCCAGTAAGGATCATCTCTTATTGATCCAGTGTCACTACACGTGAAAACCTAAACTAAACTAACTTTATTTATACTGGATAGCTCTATCAGTTCTAAACTGTTCTTCCTAGAGGTCCAGTAAGGATCTTCTCTTATTGATCCAGTGTTACTACACGTGAAAACCTAAACTAAACTAACTTTATTTATACTGGATAGCTCTATCAGTTCTAAACTGTTCTCCCTAGAGGTCCAGTAAGAGCCATCTCTTATTGATCCAGTGTCACTACACGTGAAAACCTAAACTAAACTAACTTTATTTATACTGGATAGCTCTATCAGTTCTAAACTGTTCTCCCTAGAGGTCCAGTAAGGATCATCTCTTATTGATCCAGTGTTACTACAGGGGGAAACCTAAACTAAACAAAGTTTATTCATACTGGATAGCTCTTATCAGTTCTAAACTGTTCTATCTAGAGGTCCAGTAAACTAAACTAGCAAATAACTCACCATTCCCTGTTGAAGAAATTTGATAATAGTACATCTGTACCATAAATTATCAATAGGATAAATTCCACCATAGACCTATAGACATTTGTAAAAAATATTAGTGTTTATGATATTCACGAACAAATCGTCATTACTTGCCACAAAATAATGCAGACAATTAGTAAATTATTAATTATGTAACAATTAATAGTAAATTATTATATGGCAAGCATGCATCACTTCCGGTGAAATGGCGGACTGTGATTAGCTGAAAAGCACTTTCAGCGGTCCATTATTTTTCCGTGAAATGCATGCATTTTAAAACAAAACAACAAAATTAATTGAAAATTTAAAAATTATAATTTAATTTGTTAAGAAGATATCTGCGAATGGTTTTTAGTGGAAAAGGAATACATTGGTATTTTTTGTTTTCTTCGACCAAATGTGTACGATGCTACTAATATGCATTTCAAATCATGCATTTCTTGTTTGTTTCAAGTATAAATGCCTATAAATGCCATGCATATAATAAACTTTTTATTAACCTCGCTTGCTCGGTATGTACAGAGAAATATCGGACCTCGGTCTTTTTGTACAAACCTCGCCTTGTGGGCTCACAAAAAAGACCTCGGTCCAATATTTCTCTGTATAGACCTCACGTTCAGTTAGTTAACAATGATCAGCAATAATTTGATCTATGTCTTAAAAACTCATGAATAATTTATGATGAGGAAAACACAAAGAAAAATTATGTGTCGTATCTTTATATGCAGTGATAGAGATTCCCTTGATTTACATAAACTTTAACTTTGCTTTTCTCAACTTACACAACGTATTTTTTGAAAATTACTTTGCCAATGAACTTACTAGATCGGTCGTTTTTTAAGCAACTTAAAACATTTGCATTGCATGTTTTGTTAGAATCATTATATCTGATATAACACTGCTGCTCATCTTTTAAATAGTACTTAAAAACAAGTTCAATGACAAAATTAAGCCCTGGGCAAACTAGGAAACATTGTTGCAAAACATTGTTTCCTACCAATATTTCGCCATGTTTCCCAGAGTGGGCAAACACTAGGAAACATTAGTGAGAAACATAGGGAAACATCAAATGTTTCTGAACTCTCTAGGAAATTACATTCTTGCTTCTCGGGAAGCAAATTTTGTTTCTGCAACAATTTTTCCATGGGTGCGCAAACAGGGAAACATTTGAGAAAACATTGAGAATCACAAATGTTTCTGCTACAATGTTTCCTAGTTTGCCCAGGGCTTTATTTGTTGTCATAAAAAACGAACCTTGTTTTTCTGATGCGAGTTATCGGTGACCTTCAACCCGGTTGGACAATAAAATTGAAGTTCGTCACTTGCAGTCGACAAATGATGAGCGACTGTTGCTTTTGCAACTTGAGCCCAAAATTTCACGGGTGATTCGACGTCTGTCGCCAAAACAACTCTTTCAAGATCCTAAAAATATGACGGTTAAAAATTCTCAGTGTATATGAAGGTAACAAATTCAATTTGGTTGCTTGATGTAAATTGTACCAGTTTAACACCAGACAATTTCTTGTCGAGGGTAGAGTTTAGAGTGCATTAATTAATGGGGCAGGGTTTGACGTCTTCAAGACCAAAAGATCTGTCTATTTTCAAACACTTTTCAAAGAGCTTTGATAGCAATCAGCTGTCAAAAAATTGCGAGTGTAAGCACCATTTTACCCAGCAGTAAATAGTCCCATCCAATCACATCTTAAAATGCACTTTCTCGTCGATATTTGCAAAAAACTTGCTTCAATCAATCAATCGACTTTCAAGGATGTCAAAAACCGCTACGAACCCTGATGGGTTAACCAAACTATCTGGACATCTAGTTAACCCATTATGTTGTATTTTCATTTTAAAGTGCAAGTAAAAACAGACAAATATTTATTTTAGGCAACGTGATATCCTCGCAACACTTATTTTTTCTGACAGATAACCCAGGGCGCGAAATAACGGCCGGTCAACAGACAATGTCCGGCCAGAATGCGGAGTTGTCCGGTCAAATTCTTACCTTGCCGGTCATTTTGACCGGTCACTTTCGGTAAAAGAACAAACTAATCTTCATTTTATAATAATAATCAAAATAAGGTGGTCAAGTACAGTATTATATTTAAGAACCATAACATGCATGTCGAATATTTTGCAGGAAAACAACTTCAATGTACAGTACACCAGTTTTCGCACGCAGTACGGCACAAAGGCATGGGCTATGGCCATGCCTTTGGCTTAAGAGCTATGACCATGCTTTTAGCCCAGTACAAGCTGTTTTATGCAAAGGAATTTTTAATACTGATTACAGTAAGGCTTTTTGTACTGCTATACTGGGAAAATGGTCACATTTTTAGGGGTATACTTTACTAGACATTGCTTTAAGCTGAATAATTTGACCGGCCAGAAATTCGGTATGTCCGAGCTAAAATTGAGTTGGCCAGTCACCTTGACCGCCGACCCTCCAGCTGTTATTTCGCGCCCTG